GGAGAAGACTTCAGAGGCAGGGAATTAGCATATTTCTACTGTATGCCTCTAGTTTAGCTTTAATTATGTAATAGTATATGACTTCTCAATTTTAGAATACACATTACCTCACTTGCACTATTTTGATTGTTGGAAATGTTAAAATTATATTTTAGACCCTTAGCCTTTGTGTATGTTGATATATATATATATATATATATATGTTTATAAGGCCAAAATACTAGTACAAGTATAGAAATAAAGATTTGAGTATGTTTTGAATGAATTGAGCGAAATGCAATGCTAAATTATCTCCCCTTTTGTTTTTGGTAAAATGGGGTTGAGGAGTGAATTTTAGTTATAATGATGTTTTGATACTTGTAACATATTGTACTGGTAGTTCTAGTTTTATCGAATATAGTCCAGGTATTAGGAAAAACTTTTGGCATTTATTGAGGGTTTTGGGCACCCATTTTGCATAAAAGTGTTGAAAAGTGGTCAAATTGTGTTGGGTGTCCAACTTTCTAGTATGAATTGTTTTGGAAGTGAAACCCATACCATTAGCTAGTTCATGTAAAGAGATTTTTGTAGACACCTAAATCAAGTTATTTGGACGTCGGATGGAGAATCGGGGCGAGTCAAAAGTTCCCCTGATATGCTGTCAAATGACAATAGAACCGGTGAAATTTTGTGCAACACGCCGCTGCGTGTGGTGCCTAAGCTGCGGTGCATGGCTCTAAATCACAACATATGTTTTGTTTTTCAATCTTTTTTGATTTCTTTCACTCCTTTGAGGTATCCCATGCTTCTGAAACTTATTTTTACTCTAATATGAAAGATTTTGATCAATTTTAACTTGTTTCTATTTAGAAAACTTGGGATCTCTTACTTTTGAATTAAACCTTGGTAATCACTTTTTTAGCTAATCCTTTGATTACCATGAGTTTCATTTATTAATTATGTTTAGTGGAGTGAGAATGTTATAGAAGTTACTATCATTAGATGACCTCTAGTAAATAACATCTTCTTCACTAAGAGGATTAGGAGGCTAAACAACAAATATGATATTGCTCATATCATAGTGCGAGTATTATTTTAATTGTTTGAAGTTTTACCCTCTTATGCTCATGAAAATATCAGAAACTCTTGCATGGAGAATAGAATCAGCTTTAGGATAAGCATAATTTATAAGGGGTTTGGGGAGAAGGGACCATTTGTCATACAAAAAAAAAATTGGTTGCCTTTATCGACTTTTCATCCCATGTGAGTCATGAAATTATCCTAAATTTTGCAAATACTATGCCAAGTGTAGGATGAAGTAGTGGGGTTTTGAACCATAAGAATTAGGTTTAGTACACTTATATTTATCCTATAGGATATGAACCCAAAGATAGTATGATTTAGTGATGAGACCTTGGCAGAGCTTCATAATGAAAGCTAGATTTTGACTTTTAATCTTCTTGAAACTAAGGCTCCTAGCTTTTTTTATCCACAATGATGTTGTCCCAAGATAAAATATGAGATTTTTTTAGTCCCATTAGGTGCGTCCTAAAGAAAGTTTTTAGAACATTTCTCTAAATCATCTAAGACATTGATGGGCAAGAGCATAATCTGCATGATGTAACTAGGGAGACTTGAAAGGACTAATTTTATAAAAATGAATTTCCCTACTGTGTTAGGATATTGACCCTTCTAGAAAGACAAACTGGAATTAAGCTTATCCAAAAGTGGAGCAAAGGTAAGCCTGAAAGCTCTTTCATTTGATTGGAATTTCTAGTTATTTTTCAAGGTTTCTCGTAAGAGGGATTTCCAACTGTTCGCTAATATGAGAGGCTATGTGAAAATTAACATTCTTGGGGCATAAAATTTTTGATTTGGCTGCATTTATTTTCTAACTCTAGGCATTGCAAAAAGTAAAAAAGCATTGTTGAATGATTTTGGCTTGACTAAGGGATGTTTCTGCAAAAGGAAATAAATCATCAACAAAGAATAAGTGTAAAATAAGAGGTCCATTAGTTGTTAGACTAATAGGCTTCTAGTCCTTTTTGTCTATGCTACTATGAATATAATGACTTAAACATTCCATGTAAAGAACAAAAAGATGAGGAGAAAGAGGATCCCCCTGTCTACTGTTGCGAGAAGGAGTGAATTCATGTGTTAGTTCTCTACTCCAAAGAATTTTCATTCATGCAAAACAGATAGCAGAGATAATAAGCTTCCTGATATGAACATTAATCTCGATGGAGTGGAGGGTGTTATCTACAAAATCCCAAGAAAGCCTGTCAAAAGCTTTTTCAAGATGCACTTTTATTGCCATGAAACTTTTTTTCCCAATTTTGATTCTCATGGAGTGAATAATTTCTTGAGTAATGATAATATTGTCACTACTATGTCTTCCCTGAATGAACCTGCATTAGTTGTCACCTATAAGATTTGGCATACAGGCATGAATACGATTGGAGAGAATTTTTGTAATGATTTTGTAACTTATAAAATAAAAAAGGGTACACTAAACTTCAATAAAAGAGTGAGTATCAATTATAAAACAGTGAGCTGCCAAAAAAATCCAACCAAATTATAGAAATAGAATTTGAAAAAAAAATTACTTGGTAATAACTTTGTAACATACTTAAAGATTGGCTTTGTGTTAGTTGTAAACTCAACTACACAAAATAAAATTATATATATACTCTCTCTGGTTTAAAATATAAATATTTTTTTAAAAAAATTTGCATATGAATGAAGTTCTTATTTTTTAAAAAATATATATTATTTTTTTATCCTTAATTCTAATTATCTATGCACTTTATGATGAGTGAAAGATAATTTTATGTAAGAATCTAGATTAATAAATATAAGAAGCAAAATGATTTTTTTTTTACATGTATTAGATTGTTTATATTTTAAATTAAAATTAGTTAAAAAAGTTGTAGTTTATAATAGAGTTTTAAACTCTAAAGCATGATGCGCATAAAACAAAATGCTTCAAGCCTTCAGTAATCAGTGCTCAATCCTTGTCCCACAAATGGCACCTAATTATTTTTCCGCATTTACGGCTCCTTTTAGTCCCTATATAAATGAGACGATAAAAAACATGTGATGTGAAATCATTATTATTTAACTTGTGAAAATCAGGCATGGTTTGTCTTCTATAATTTTTGTGGTTTTAATGCATCACAATCGATTTAAATTATTATGTGATGGCTGTTATGAATGTGTTCAAGGTTCTGTTTTTGAACACTTCATGTGGTAAAAAGGTCTGGAGTCATATCAATTATAAATGTTTCATATCGATCTGAAATGAATTCAAATGTTATGCAATATAAATGTTTCATATCGATCTGAAATGAATTCAAATGTTATGCAATATAAATGTTTCATATCAATAGATATATTAACGTTAATCTCTTTTATCAACCAAATTAGTATCGTAGTATCATGTTAGTGTGCATGCATATTGGTAAGAACCATTGTATAACAATCACATTTGTGTGATTAATTTTTTTTTATTTAAATTTTATCCCTAATACAACCCTTCTATAACTTATGGACACATACAAACATGTCAATATTAGATTTGAATCTAGAACTTCTTCTAAAAGAGGGAAGTAATACTATCACTAGAATAACAAGTCATTGATATTTTTGTGTGATTAATAATTGACTCACTTATCTAATATTGCAACACTAATAACATATGCAAAATACATGAAAATAAAATCATAAAATTATTTTTTTTCTTATGGGCCATATATCACATAAATTATCTATGGGTTAAGGGTTGTTTTTGTTTTTAAACTATACACGAAATGTCACAAATGATTTTAAACTTAATTATGGGTCAATTTTATTTTTCAACTTTCAAAATTTTCTCTATTATTATCTTGCTATTTTCTCACTATTTGTTAACTATTAGTAGATCCTATATTATATTTTTTTAATAATTTTTTATTATAAAATATTTGAGTTAAGGGGTAACAATAATTTTTTGAATAAAAGTTAAGTGACAAAAATGACCTCTAACCTGATAAAAGTATTTAAAAAAAGTAGAATAACAAATGTCAAGTGGTTTTAGTGTCAGAATGATGATAGGGGAAATCTTTAAAGTTGAAGAACATAATTAATTCATAATTGAATTTATAAGTATTTATGATCTTTTGTGTACAGTTCAATGATAAAAATGACTCTTACATCATTATTTATTCAAATTATAAGAATGGTGAATTGTGAGGGGAGCCTAGCTTATTATAAAAGTTGGTATTCTATGAGTCATTTTTATCTGAATTTAATAATCCTCTAATTAATTGAACTTAATAATGCTGAACATTTTATTTCCAATATTTTCTAGGTTGAGAATAATAATCCCGTCCACGTGATCGGATAGCTTAAAAGATTATCGATGACAAGTAGAAAGAATTAATATTGTTCAGTATTATTAATATTTTAAATTTGATTATTTTTGTCCCATGTATTTGAACAACACCCCCCCCCCCCAAAAAAAAAAAAAAATCATTGTCTAAATGAATGTGAGAAAAAAAAAAGGCCAATGACACTGCTAAAAATGAGGAATCATTTGCCACAAAACTGAAGAATTTTGAGCTTCTGGACTTCGTTTTTGGCCATTCCAGCCCCAAACATTGTTTCTCGGTCAAACTCATCTTCCTCGTCGATCTTGTAAGTTTCTAAAGGGAACACTTCACTTGGATAGCAAGAGTCTTCCTCACACCAGGGCAAGCATCGCCATTCTTTAACAATACCTTGGGATCCATTGGAACCGAACAGCTCGTTTTCCCCAGGCATTGCTGCTCCACAATCTGCTTCGTTGCCCGCAGACTGCAATTACCCACAGTGTAGCCGCCGCAGAAACCCCTAGGGTTTCCAAAGCTCGCGAAATCTACACTTACAATCCTCTTCTGGTTCGGGCATTTCAGTGCAGCTCCCGGGATCGCCTTCTCCGCTATGGATGGGAATTGACTGTTCTTGTTCCCCCAGGATTTGACACTGGGAGGGTGATTATCTGTGATGTGACTGCAGATTGTGTCTCTGTCCACGGTCAGGACCTCGATCTCCTCTGGTGTTGCAGGCGCCTCCTCCAACACGACCACCAAATTGTCTTTGTCTTTCAGCCAAGCTCTTGGGTTGTGGTACCTGACAATGAAAGGTTAATAATGGACTTGAATATCGTTTTCTTTTCGATTTTGATCGATCAAATCTGGATACTTCCAAAACGAAGTCATGAAATTTTACCTATCAAGAAGAGGGATTAAATTTATGCTTGTTAAGTGTTTGGTATTTGGATTATACATATTTTATCGTCTGTTGTCCAATATCCGAATAATATACTTACTCTGATTGACTAGGCTGTCCTAGAGGAGAGAGGTAGCTCATCCAATAGCGACCAATGCTTTTACCGTTTATCCAAATCATGCCCTTCTCCATGCCATTCATTCGAATGGCAACAGGATCTCTTCCTTCTGGGGCATCAAAATGTCTCTGCAAAATGATTACAGAATGCATAGTTGGCTGATTCCAAAACATTCGTAGCTGATTGTTTGAATATTTTTGAAAACGAAACAAATCATTATATATATATATATATATGATTAGTGCAAAGATTAGAACTGGTAAGTCTAATGGCTTGACTTGATGATTCCGCATATTTTTCGAAGCTTATAGTACCTTGTACCAAGAGAGGGCTGGTTGACGTCCATTGACGGGTTTCCATTGTTCCTGTTTTGATCCGTCCTCGGTGAAGAGCCCAAGTTTCTCACCTGTGAGACCAACCTGCAATGTGACCCCGCGTAAGCTGTTACATGCGTTGAATACTTGAATGTGTTTGTGCGTGTGTTGTGGTACAGTTTTTACTTTGTCAACCTACTACGTTTCTCCATATTTCACCTGATGACCCCATCCGTTGATGGTCAGATCAACGGTTCCGGTGTTTAGACCAAGGATGGTTATAGACTTGGGTCCAGCATACCTGTGCTCCATGTATGCACCACTGTCCTGAATAAGGAAAAGGGATATAAAAGTTGTATAATGTCCTCATTAAAAAGTGTTTCTAATTGGGAGGAAAGATGAAGTCGTGCTTCTTACTGGGAGTCCAACAGTACTAGCCAAGATAGCTATGTGGTTGACCCCAACTTGAAATTTTGCACTTTGCTCAAATACGAAAGATTTTTCCTCATGGCTGCCATGAGCGGTTCCTTAAAACCATTAAAATGCCTTTATATTAAAATCCATTCTTTCACTTAAAACAGCAGTTGCCACTTTACCCTGTCATTTTTGTATGCTTACCTAGGTATTCTCCATTGACATATGCAACCAATGAATGGCCAAGACTAATGATACGAAGAACAGGGGATACTCCATTCTTCTTTGGGATGTCTGCTGGACTTAACACGATGCTACAATAATATTTTCACAAGTTTCAGGTACCACTTTCATATGCATGTACCCCAGATGATTGGAAATTTGTAAGGTGGGAGAAAGAAACTCACCTAGTGGTGTACCATGCATAGTCAGTGGCGTCCTTAAGTAAACTGTAGAGTTCTAGAGGAAAACTCTGATTGGCTGGTACGTCCTGGGTAGTTGGAATGGCTTCTGTAAACACCTCCCACTTATTGCTGTTTGGAATCTGTGATCTCTCGAAGTTCCTTGAATTATGTTGTGAGACAACCTGTTAAAGAGAATAAGTTAGAGCTTCAGCCTCAGCTCCAGAATGTGAATTTTTTCTCCAGCAAGTATATCTTGTTATGTGAGGGACATATACATTACCATTTGAGTGTTATAGACCACAGTCTTGCAATCAGGGAGGATGCTAATGGAGTGCGGCGGCAACAAGTAGCTCTGGCCTCTGAAGTTTACGGTTGCTCCTTTCTGCGTGTGGTTGTTAGTTAAGAAAGCAGCACAAAGGCCACTTTCTGGCTTCTCAAAGACCCTAGTCTGCAAAACATGGACAAACATTTCCTTTAAAATTTGCCAAATGTCAACAATTACAATAACAACCATCTGATATATGAGATGCTTAATTACCTCAATGGATTGGCTCAGCATGGTGACACTAGGCGTAGCCCCAAGCAGAGCCTTCTTGCAAAGGTTCAGGGCCCTGTGAAGGTCCCTGAGGTGACCCCATTTTGGTTCTCTTTGCAGACCGTATTCATCAAGCGGAGCTTCATCGTAATAGCGGGTTGTAGCGAAAGCAGAGCTGGTTCTACCGAAGTTTGTTCCACCATAGTACTACGAGAGTTTGCAATCAAGTTAGAAGCTATGGTTTTCCCGTTGGTTTAGATCTAAGGGAGGATTGCTTATTGTGGATAGGATCATTACCATATAGTAGTTGACCAATGATCCGTTCTTAGCGAAAAAGCGAGCAACTGAAAAGGCAAGATCTTCTGCATTTCTCTGTGATGGTGGGTCTCCGAAAACTCTATATCTGTAATAGCAATTTACCAACAAACACGTGCTTAGCGCTTAGTTTGAACTATCATTGCTAATTACTACTCTGGACCACAATATGTGTTATTGATAACTCATTTACATTTTATGAAAAATGTTACTCCTTCGTTAAAAAATATAAGATATTTTTTAAGAATTGGATGTTGAAAAATATAAGGCATTTTTAGTCTTTTGAGTTGTAATTATTATTTTTTAAAAAAATATCTCTATTGATAATGATTTTATATTTATTATAGAGTGTTTAATAGGGGTAAACATAAAAAAATAGGGTTAATTTAAAAGTAGGTAATTACTTTATTGTAGGGTGAGATTTGATTAAAAATGTTTTATATTTTTAAACGAAGGGAGTAGTTGAAATTTTATTTTTTTAAAAAATGTTTACATCTTTATATTTATGCCATGGAAATGTTTTAGTAACATTTGCATGGTATTTAAATATGGAGCATTTAAATTTTAAAGAGATGAAATATAAAAAAAGCAAGGATAGAAATAGGGGTGAAAATAGGATGAGTCAAGTTAGACTTTGACCAAATATGCTTAAGCCTGTATAATAAATTAGAGGCCTAAGTCTAACATGAAGTTTGTATAAGATTTTTTTTTTGACTCAAGTTTGAGTCTATTTAAAACTTGGTCTAACTTGCAAGTCTATTTAAAAGCCTATTTAAAAGTAAAGTATTTTAAATAGATTTACATTTTAGTTTTAAATGTCTTAAATATACTTTTGGGTTATTATAATATACCATATATAACTTAATTTATCAATTATAATATATAAAAATTGAAAGGATTTACTAACTATAATATAATATAACAATAAAGTGACAATATTAAAATTAATATATAAGTCAAATATGATTAAAATATAATTAGAAGTAGTAAAGAATAAATTGATTAAAAATCATATAGCAAAACTGATATATTTGTGATATAATACATAATATATACTCTCTTCATTTAAAAATGTAAGGCATTTTTAGAAGAGTTGGATATTAAAAAATATAAGGCATTTTTAGTCTTTTAAGGTGTAATTATTGCTTTTTTTTTTCAAAAAGTATCCCTATTAATGAATGATTTTATATTTATTGTAGAGTGTTTAATAGGGATAAATATGAAAAGATAGGGTTAGTTTGAAAGTAGATAACTACTTTATTAAGGTGAGATTTTGTTAAAAATGTCTTACATTTTTAAATAAAAGGAGTATATATATATATAAATAGGCTAGCCTGTTAGGCTCATAAGCTAAACATTGGAAAACATAAGTTTGACCTATTTAATTAAATAGGCTTAATTAAAGACATGAGTCTAGCTTAAATCTATTTAGTAAGTAGGTTAAGTTAGGTTAGAAGTAGGCTAGGTTGTAAGCCTTTATTAAGAGCCTGGCTTGTTCCCATCCTTAGATATAAATGATAAAAAAAATAATTTAAATAATGTTTTATATTTTGGATTAAGAGGTGCTTTTAGAAAGCTGGCTTGTATTGTGGTTTGGAAGAAGTAACAACGATTAAGCTGTGCAAGTATATACTCACTGGCCAGTCCAGTTTTCGGTCCATAGGGAGGGCTTGTATGGTTTGTTGGGGCCAGAAAAAGTATCCCCACATTGCCTTCCATTGCATGCATTGATCTGTAAAACAGAACATGCATGCAAAATCTCAGAAAGCAGGGGGAATATCTCATGGGAAGAAATATACATATACATATTGAAGGTGTCAAAAACTCACCACCGGATCAGGAGCATCGGTTTGCTTACACATGATCCATGGAACTCCGACATTCTTCGACACCGCCATATTTGCAGCCCACTGAACATAATTATCTCCCTGGGCTTTAAAAGTTGCTTGGACGTGATTGTATTCATTTTCAATCTGCGCAACGGCGTGAAACGTTTATAACTTCATAATTGTTTTTCATGAATTATAATCATATGGAAAACTAGTTTGGAGGAATAGGAACCTGTGCCAAGATGATGGGACCTCCTTGGGAGGCAAACATCTTCTCAGCATTCATTTTATCTATCACCGTTGACACGTATTTTTCCATGTGGAACTGCAAATATGACGCATTTTAGCCTCAACACACGCTGTAACATTATCTTCTCAATAAAAAAATATCATGGGCTTGAAAGTTGAGAGTCATGAAGAACGCGGAAGATGTTACCTTGAAGGGGTCATTTTCCGTGCGGAATATGATGTCCGGTACCTCTCTTAGCCAATATGGAAGTCCTCTGATATATTTTTGGACGTTACGTTGTAGAAATCAGTAGTGCATTATGGCGGAGAGGGAAAATAAATAGGACAGAGGATGTCTGTCAGTCTGTGCGTGCGTGTGTGTGAGGAATTAATCTGGTCAAGTCATACCCATGATTCCATTCTGCCTGGATGAACGGTCCGAGCCTAAGAGTTGCGTACATTCCTTTCTGTTGAACGAGCTTCAGAAACTTCACCAAATCATAGTTTCCTTCAAAGTTCCACTGCGTAATTAATGGAGGAATTCAATTCACAGAGCGAACATGGATCATCAACAATAACCGTGTAGGAGCCGGGTTTGCTGCGTCTGGTTACAGTTAAAAAAAAAAAATGCATAACATGGTTTTACCTTGCCTTTCTTTGGCTCATGAACGTTCCAAAACACGTAAGTCTGAATCACGTTTAAACCTCCGTGTCTTGCCTTATCAAGAATGTCTGGCCACATCTGAAACCCATTCATGAACAGCCATTACATCTCCATCCGTCGAGAAAAGTCTTTGATTCATAATATTGTTGCATCGTTAACGTATACCTACGTACCTCGGGAGGACTTCGAGTGTAATGGACAGAACCAGAGAAAAGAAGCTCGTGTCTTCCATTGATGATCAGAGACCTTCCATCATATATGACTTCCTTCTGCACTTGATCGTGAGCAACGGCGAATGAGACGACGATGGAAAGGAGTGCAGTTAAGAGCAGGCGATTTCTAGGAATCGCCATGCTTATCCTTTCCAAAGGAAGAAACCCAAGCTGGGTTTTTTTGAAAGGTTTTTGAGCCCCGAGAGTATCCTCCTACTGTAATGTTGAGAGGTGTCCGGAAGCTAATTTTCCAGACGCAAGGGAAGGCAGTTAAATAGAGATCTAGAGACAAAGAAGCAATCGAGAGTCTGGGAGCAAAACTCGGCTCTTCCATTTTGTTCGGTTTGGATAGTGGTCGTGGTTACTTTGACACGAGTGTCTCTCTATTCGTTCCTCTGTGTTCTCGGCCATTCATGGCTTGCCACGACGTGGAACAAGAACAAGAATGATGCAAACGGACGTGGGATTGTTGGAGCCTGATGACCTTCCTATTTCAGTCTCTATTTCACAGTCAAATCCATATCCCTTAATGGAAATCAACGATGATTCCTTCATATTATCTGCTATCCTCATTTATAAATTTATAAATATCTTCTGAGTCAAACTCTTGGGTATCTTGATCCAATCATATGTTAACACAATTTTTAAAAAATATAGAGAGCTGTCAAAATGAATGTAAAAGAAATGTTAAATAATTGTCAGCTGATTACTATAATATGCATCTATATGGTATGGGAGAGCTCACTGACCTCAAGGAACAAAGCCCGAGGTCTAATGCGATAATATGCAGTGTGTTTCGAGGAGAAGAAAAGCGATAGATTCAATTAGTTCTATTTGGCCATCAAAATATGAGTTTAATTAAATTAGTGTCGTCGTCCTTTTTCTCAAAGAGGCTAAGGCCAATGTCAATCCTTTCTCCTGAAGTAGCCAAAATTTTTTTCTCTCCCTGCTCTGTTTTGAGTCATTTGAAATATTTACACGTTGCTGTTGTTTATAAAACAGTGATCAGCTGGTGTGAGCACAAGTGCTTTTGGGTTCATAAAAATAAGCTGGGATCCATATATGCGAGTTTGTGATACTTATGGATGTGCGTGTACACGCATACAACATTTTCGTGCGTGTGTGTGTGTGAGTACCTTATCTTATATACACGCGTAATTCTGAATTCTCTATGAATAGTGTTGCCACCTTGAATTTCAAGCATGCATTTCCTTGGCATAAGAAATGGGTGAAACAACCACCTCAAGGTAATTAAACATAGGCATTAAGAAGAGGGGGTTGTGCAAGGTTTCAGTGCTGCAGAGTGCAATAACATTCTCTGTGGTTCATTCAATGACCTGGATGACTGTCCTTGTCATGCTTACTTGGATTTCTTTGAACTGCTTTTCTTTATACATTACCCTGTAGATAAGAGAGAAATCACCCCCATAATATATTTAATGTAAAAGAGTATTTTAATCAAGGAATTATATTTAGCTCAAATACTCTTACATATAGAAGAAGCAGACAACAGCCCAATACAGAACTTTACGCCCAAAGGAAATGAAATAATGTGCAAAGCATTGGCGAGCGTTGGCACTAAGTTTGAAAGAGAAAACTTTTGATTAATGAAAAGTTATATCATATATTAAAGAATTTGTAAGTCTACGCCACTTTCGAAGTTTTCACAATAAAAACTTTTTTAAGTCATGATTGTAATTTTTTTTTTCTTATTTTGTCATTACAATCCTTGGTTGTTGTTGTTAGGTGAAGGCAGGGGTGGAAAAAATTTGATAAATATCAGCCTGACCCTATAAAGATGAGTTTAGAGACTTCTGTTATGTTGGTATACTGAATCATGTCGAATCGGATCACATCTCCATATAATTAATGTAGAGATTTGTTTGTTTTGGTTTGGAGTTTTCCAAAGACATTGAAGGAGAAGGTAATAAAGAAAGTTTCAGTAGGTGGAATCTAGAGACTAGAGGGTTAAAAACCTTGTGCAGGCTCATGCTTGCACATGGATTGGTCTTCTGCTATATTAAATTTTCTGTGTTGGGCTGTTGTGGCTGATATGTTTATTAAGCTGTTAAATTTGTCCTATTAGCCCTAACCTAGGACTTTTAGATGCCGCGAGATCAAATATTTTATTAAAAATTTTTATTGGTTTAATGTAATAATCTATGGTTTTGAAATATTTTAGTGTGATTCTTCTTTTCAATGCCAGTGACTTCAATTTCTGTAATATATATGATACAGCTTGCGTCTGCAACTTCCACTCATTTCGAGCCGCGATGATACATACTTCCTTTGCCAATAATAATCAAAATCAGAC